TTCAACGAAAAAACCGTGCTCTTTTCGATTTTTTTTATTCCGTTCTCTTTTAATTACAAATTTTGACGTAATTATCAAACCGTTCTCCATTCTATGCAAATTCCGTTCTCTTTTCATTTCTTGTCCGGAAAAGCACGTTTCAGCAACTCGAAACCAACTTTATTTTTTTTTGATTCTTTGATAAGTACTTCAAAACGGAATTCCCAAATCAATACAGAATAGACAAAAAGAAGAAACAATTGCCTGAGAACTCGTCAGATTGACTAGTGATCAGGTAGAAGGCCACCGATTGTGCCCTAAAATATATCGGCGATAGAATGTGGTATAGGTAATACATACTAGTTTCTTACATTTTCTAATAAATTAGATGAAATAAATTGAAGGTATGCTGGGCACATAGCGTGTGTCCTCGAAGACGACATATGGGCCGGTTTAAAGCACTCTTTCTTTTACAATAGAGAAGTCCCACACACCAGCGAAGTAGCAATCAGCTTTAGAGTTCAGATATTTGTATTTGTAATATCTTTAATAAACTAAAAACCAACTTTTGATTTCGAAACAAGAAAATTTTTGATCTTTTAAAAGCATTTCTCTAAGGGGAAAATGGAAGGACTTTGCTATAGGAGGTAGAAATCTTACTAGGAAAAATATATCTCACAACATTACATGAAGCCTTACATAAAAACCGATTGTATTTCTCACGAAAAAAATAAAAAGCCGGCAAGCATTCCTTACATTATAAGATTTGCGCTTCTAATTTTTTTCAGTCGATCAGAAAATGACTACAAAACGTATTTTTAAAAACCAGTAGATTCTATTAACAGAAACACGCAAGGGCTTCTGTCCACTCTAAAAAAATTGCGTTTTGTTTTATCTTCACTTATTTTTCGATGCGTCTGTACTCTTTTTTTATGTATCATGTTTTAAGATACTTATTTTTTGTGCGAGTTGGATTCGTTTTACTTCTGCACTAGAGGTTCAGGCTGATCATCTCCTTTGTTTTAGATTCATCATTGTATATAAAAAACGACAACTTTTAGAAAAATATCGTCAACGTTTTCTTTATTCTTTTTGAGGCACTGGAATCGCCTAGTCTCTTGTACTAAATACAAGGATAGTGGCAGGTCTAGTCATTAGATCTATAAATTCGAGATAAACTGCAACTAAATACATTCACTACTACTTAGTTTTAGATCTTAGGTATTTACTAACCACGGCACATTCTCCCGTTGAAAGCGATATCAGATGTACTTACGTGCTAGTGGAATATGTATGTGTTCTGAATACCTAGAGCTACAAGACTACTTATAAGCTGCTATTGTGACTATGAACTGCGATACAGAACATATCGATTATTCAATCATTTCTTATTTGTTCCTTGTTTTTTTCAGGGATCTAGACTAATACTCTAAACTGTTTTTGCCAATATTTACTACTGATCCTTTACTGAATAACCGAAATAATTGAATATACTGGCCTACCCTGATTTAATAGCGAAGAGTAACAATGTTTTTTTGATAGTAGATACTTTGGAATTCAAAATTAAATCAATAATTTTACTTTTTTTGACCCATCGAAATACATTAAGTAAGTATTGACATTGACCTATAATTGTTATAACCTAGTGTCATAATACCATATGTGTTGGTTTGATTCGTTCCGATGATTTCTTATCATATCTTATATTGATTTCATTTTACATTAGCAAAGACAGTCGACTTTATGGTTGGATCAGCAGCGATGGATACTATTGACGTATTTTCGAATCAATATGCAAACTGGTTACATTTTATATGATCTGAAAGTGTTTAAAAGATTTTTCTGCTCGGCACGCTATAGTGAGCTGTAACTCAGAATGTAGGTAGAAAAAATACATGTTTATACACCAGTAATCAATAATGCGTCATAAAAAAAGATGTACTATTCAATCTAACAAAAAAAAGGTTCAAAGAAGCAAATCGTTGATATATACGAAAGATGAACAAGTTTCTTAATGATAATGTCTTTCGTCGAGTGAAGAAGAGAGCAAGACAAAAATAACCACAACTCTAAAACTTTATTTAGAAGAAATGGAAGAATTGAAAATCCTTCTCTCGCACTAATTATAACTGAGTGAGTCACCCACACTTCCAAGCCCAAATCATAGAAGAATACGACATTGTTTACCACTACTATATTCCTAACGGGTGTACCATAAATAATGTCAGTCTCGGTATTTTAGCTCTAACTCCTATTTCTTAGGTCCCCTAGAGCAAATTCTTTTTTTAATAGAAGCGCCATGAAATTCTCTACAAAGTCATACCTAAACTTGAATTTCAGAACTTCGAGCAAGAAAAGGAGAAAAAATTAAAACGAAAAATCAAAAACCATTAACCCAATAAGAAAAAAAAGAATTTGTTCTAAGGGACCTAAGGAACAAGAGTTAGAGCTAAAATACCGAGACCGACATTATTTATGGTACACCCGTTAATATAGATGCCAATGCATTTCTGATTTCATTCTTACTTTAACTTTTCGATTCAAAGTTCCATTGCTCTATGAAATGGTCGCAAAGGGACCCATCTTTTCGTAACATTCAGATCGGATATAAAGACTATAATTTGTAAAGTTTCTCTGACTAAAAGTCGATATGACCCTGTATCTTTTCATAATATTTTCTAGTTCGCCAGTCGATATGATGATGTGAAAATGATCTTTTAAAGATCGAAAGATCGAAACAAATGTGTTTAATTTACTAGCTGCAGTTAAATATTTATCATTCGCATTCAAATGTTTACCCATAGGGAAAAATAATAAACTTCTGTTCTTATTTTACTTTTAACAGCATCAAAACACAGCTTTAAGAAGACTTTATTACCGTTCCGATGAATAGAAGTGAACAAAAGAAACGTTGCGCTTTCGTTTGATCTATGAAATATGTATGTCTGACATAAAATTGATTCTACAGTAGACAAACTTGCAGAAAAACTGAGACACATCTTTTAGATGTCATAGGCATTGACGGACATGTTGAAATGGGTAGTAATTGTTTTTTATTGATGAAAAATAAATATCACTATCTCAGAATCCATAGTGTGGGGTTTACTCAATATCAGAACTATTTGCAAACAGTTTCTTAAAATGAAATGAAATTTCAAAGTGTTTCTCATTCCGTGGGACATGTCTAAAAGCAACAAGGAAAGAACGTTTTTGTTTTTAATTACTCTGTCTAGGAGTGTTTTATGAACTTCATTGATCTACATTGTTTACTAATTATAGGCGATAAGAGACAACAATGATATTAGAATCACATGTTGGTTTTAGTCGATTGATATTCGATTTTATATATATATATATGTATATATATATGATTTTAATTATAATTACTCTGCTGCCAGCCAACTTTACTCGGTCACTAGTTCTTTTTGTTCTTTAAGCAAACGTTTCGTTCAACAAACAATCGAAAACAATCAAGATCGATTCTATAAAGTTAGTGTCGTCTATATTCCCAACATACAGAACAGTAGCGAAGAATAGAAACTTTTTTCTGATTTTTTGATACATGTAAAAGGTCGTCAACTCTCTCTCTATGTATATGTCACTGGCACTACTGTACATGTATATAATGTATGTTCATAAAAAAATGAAATATAGAAGAAAAAAATGAGTTCAATATGAAATCAGCAACCGCGCGAAGAACAAATATGAACAAACTGATGTGACTGTGTGTGCGATTTTGATATCTGAGAAAGAGAGTGTTTGTTTGTATGGTGTATATCGACGGAACGCAATCGTCGTGATAGTAGTTATTGATGACATAAAAAAACGCGTCTGTTTAGTCATTGTTCTATTCTGTCATAATTATTATTATTATTATTATTATGTATTCATACAGACACACACATACAGGTAGTCATCCTGTTGTTCTAAATATTCTCTCGTAGATTCCGCCTACCCGGATATCAGAGAGAAATGGGGGAGGCGTTTGTTCACCTATAAGATTATTCTACTCAATTTTCTTTTTTCTCGCGCTTTTTATTCCCAAACACAAAAAGTACGACGTGACAATATCACTAGTTCTTATTTTTTTCTCATTCTCTTAAAGATTATTTGATAATTATTGATTGAAAGCGTGAATCTTATGAACATATCCTTTAGTCATATATACAAGGTGTATAATCAGGAAATGAATAGAATGAACAATTGAATATACACGCCAACGTACTAAAACATCTTTTAACACAACCAAAATCAATGTCAGCAGTAAAACGACGACTGTATTGAACAATGTACATGAAAAACTCGAATACAATTTTATACAAACTAACAATGTATAACATTTATTCCACAATATTTTTATTAATAATCATGAACAATCAAAAGGTAAGCAAAGAAAATGTAATATGCGCAACTTCAACTGTTTATTGTATGTTCAACGGGAACTGCTGAAGTCAAAAGATTTGGGTTCTCTCATTAACTCGTGAGAGATAAACGGAGGTTTCTGCATTTGTAAGTTCCGAGCGACGCTCTTGCTCTTCCCGCAAAGTAGGGTACGTGCCAGATTTGTCTAAACTCCAGTTCACGTGCGTTCAGTAACGAGATGAAGAAACTCTGAAAGTCTTGTAGTTTGCCGATATGTGTTCTTCTATTTGATCGAGTGGAACTGTTACGTCACCGTCTGTTTTTTTTCTCTCGAAATTTGTTTTCAATCTGTTGAACAAGTAGCGAGCAGAGCATTATTCTCAGCTTGTCTCGAAAACAGATAGTAATTTGACTGCACATACACACTCTCGATAGGTGACAGTGAAGCACTACACTATTATTCTCGTTTATCGTGTGTGAGAGAGTCAAGCAACATCTATTTATCTTGCCCTACTATCAACATCTATTCGGGTTTCTTTTCTATTTCTATTGACGAAGGTAAACTTTATCAAAAATGTGAAAACAAATTTATCTAAATAATTACTCCTGACAGACACTTGTTTTTTTTCTTGTTGTTAAGTACACAATGTTCAATCACAGAGACAGAAATAGTCTGTCGTCGGATCACTTTTATAACTGTATCAACTATTCGTGGCTATTTCAAACAAACATCAGAATGAAATAGGTTCTTGTTTCCTAAAAAGGTGAACGATTTATTCAAGTATGATGAAAAAAAGAGAAAGCAGCATGAAGGCAGGCGAGGGCATAAAAATCAAGTATATGAACTAACTGTACATATATAATACAATCATTTATAACTTTTTTATAGTTATTACAATCTTCACCAAACCTACTTGAATACTCACCATATTTTCTTCCTTCTTAAAATAATGTCAATGGATCATGTGTCTGTACAAATAACTTGAAAACCATTTAGATTATTTGTTTTTAAACTTCACCATCTTTATTTTAAACAAAATATGCCTTGAAGTACTTTGTGGAGTGGCTATATACACCGTCAGTATCATGCACGTAGTGCATATGAAAACGAAAGCAAATGTAACTATTGTTAAGATTTCAAAGAGAGGCGTTCAGATAGTTGGTAATTTTATCGAGTGAAGAAATGATTGGCTCTAGAAACGTGATTTTCAAGTTTTTGTTTTGAGCAATATACATTGTTCATCCGGAATTAGAAAATCTCAGCTATTAAGATAAATTGTCTGATATATTGTTTGATTTTAGGATTCTATTGAAGAAAGATGAAGTTATATTAAGATCTATTTCAGAAAATTTCGGGATGATCTTAATTAAAGTTTTACTATTAAATAAAATACATTGCTAAGAGAAGAGGAAGGGACGTTCAATTAATGGCAGCTGATGATTTCCGTTTTTTTTTGTTATTCAGATTGAATGTCAAGAGTCACCGTCCGTATTACTCGTTGACCTATTACAATTTTCAAATCCAAGTAGCACAACGACTAATAGTCAATGTTGTGATGGCACAAAACCAACTGCCACTCTTAATTGTTCAACAATTACCTGTAATATTTGGACAATTATATGTTTAGATTTTTTGAATAGGTGAGTGATTAATTTAATTTTTTTATTGCGATATATGATACAGTTTAGAGAGAAAAATCTATTATTTACTATTGATAGATGAATATAGACACATTATAATTGATTTTTTATAGTCATTTATTTTTATGTATATATACTCATGTTGTATAGTCATTCCTTTTAAAAATTCTCATTAACAGAATAAGATAAAGAGAAAAACGTCAAAAACACTTGTGAGGATTCAAATTGAAAACGATCTGTCGCTCCACAAGCATTTTTGCCTTCTTATTCATAAGAAGAACACCTATATCTGATCGGCAAAGAAGACATTTATTAGAGTTATGTGATAAAAAGAACCATAACAAAAAGAAAGAGAGAGAGAGTGTGAACAATTCTTTTCTCTTAAGATAATAAAATTTTTTAAAAATACTTGTGTAGTACTACAGGTATAAAATGGCAGATAAGAGTTGAAGAAAACAGACGTAATAGGTCTCACTTGCGTCACTTAGATAAATAATCGATGCTAAGTCTAGACAAACTGTCTTGCTAAATCTGTCAATGTCTATTAACGGCTAACAATTATACGAAACAATGCTCAATTTTTTCTCAATTGTTTGAATTCAATAATTATTGATCTTTGTTCAGTACAAAAAAATTGCTGTTTTTCTCTTAAACTTTATGAAATATGAAATGTGATAAAAATTCTGTCCAATTATTTAGTGTTTCTGTGTCGAATTGGACTCATTGTCCGTTAGGTGTATTATCTGTTCAAGCTTTAACGAATACAATCACATTTAATTATTATCAATTACAAAGTGCTGCATCAAAACTACCCTTAATCTTTGCATTACCTAAAATAAACGATGTATGTTGAAAATTTCAGCGTTTTTCTTGTCATTTTCAACGAGAGATCTTAATTTTAGAATATGATTAGTTTGAAAATATTTCTGTTTAATTATATCATAAATAATAATACAATAGCTATATTAAATCAAGAAAGACAACTTGATCGATTTTATCTTCAGTACAGAATTGATCGTTCATTTTCATCGCGAGATGTCGGCATATTTGAACAAATCTCCTCGACAGGATTAAAAAACACAGTTACGCAAGAACATGTTACTCAAAGAAATCAGTATGTGTGTTTCTGTTGATATTAAACAAGAAATTAATAAATTAGTTTTGTTTTCCAGACTAAACTTAGCACTGATGACCTATTGTCGGCCAACATTCTACGGTTCACAATGTTCTGTTCAGTGTATAGCTAATGATAATTGTCAAAGTTCCTATGAATGTCATCCGACGACCGGTGCTAAGATATGCAATCCTGGTTGGTATGGAATTGACTGCCAATATTTTAATATTTCAGAAAATCAATCATGTTCAACAGGTATTTGTTACTTGACTTTTTAGGAAGAAAACACCAATCTTGTGTTTCTCTTTTAAAGGACTTATCTGTCAAAATAATGGATTTTGCAAAACCAATAGTGGTCAATCGTATTGTTGTTGTTCACAAGGTAGAATAAAAATTGCTGAAGACTATTTTATGTTTTATTATTCTTTTTTTGAAAGGTTTTACCGGTGATCGTTGTCAGTATTTATCAATGTGTACGACGTCTGTCACTTGTCAGAACGGTGGACGGTGTACAGCCACTTATGATAATAGGTCAAGAATGCTCTACTATACATGTGTTTGTACATCACGGTATGTTTATTATTAAAATTTTTCCTACATATTGATCGATAACGGAACATCTACAAACATACCGCTGAGATTTCGATAAAATATAGTGCATTTAATAAAGTCGAAAGTACTGATTACAAATATGATAGGTTGGGTTTGCCACTAATTTTAGCTGAATATAATACGAGAAACATTAATGCACATAAAAATATAAAATACATATAAAATATAAAATAATTATAACTCGGATGTTTCTCTACAATACTATATCATTAATAAGTTACTAATGTCAATAAAGCATGGATCGATTAAATAAACATGAGATTATGTTCTGATACTGAGAAAATAAAACGTCGTAAGCCATCAATTTATTCAGCGATGACAGCATGTTCGCGATCAACACTTTCTAAACACTAAACAATTATATTTTATTGAAATGTTGAAAGTTTACTATTTCTCTTTCAGGTATTCTGGTTTATTTTGTGAAATACAAAATCAATGTCCACCTAATTTTTATGGTCCTAATTGTAACGTTGAATGTTTACCACCGAATTCGTGTGTCGATGGTCATTTTGAGTGTAATTCATTGGGAGAAAAAGAGTGTCGAGCGAATTGGCTTCCAGTTGGCAAATGTAATCAAAAACTCATACCACCATCAACTGATTCTGAATGTCCAAATGCAAATGGCTGTCTCAATGGTGGTTCGTGTTGGAATGGATCGTGTTGCTGTCCTGCCAACTTCATCGGTCTGTCAAACACACTCTCTTCTTTAAACAGCCTTTTTGTATCACGAAATATTTTTGGAATATTAGGTAAACTATGTGAAATACCAGTTGATTTCTGTGCCAGCAGACAATGTCTCAATAATGCACTTTGTACATCTAACGAAAGTGGCTATTACTGTTTATGTCATGCAGGTTATACGGGACGAAATTGTGAAATCAGTCTGAATCCCTGCCAGTATCAAGCGTGTCAAAAAGGTGTTTGTCAACCAAACTCAAATTTTACCTCATTTACATGCGTATGTTACCAAGGTAAACAGATTTTGGAGTTATACACAAGAAAATGATCTTAGTAGTGCCTAATGATACGTCATATTCACCACGTCATACTCAACCATAGGTGAAAAAAGCTACCAAGTTTGCGTTCGTCTGAAGTTGACAGATTTTCAAAAACATTAAAATGAGTGTAATTCATAGATTTGTATGTGTGTCACAGATAAAAGGAAAAAGTCTTTCTTAGAAAAAAATTGATTTCGATCATGACCAGTAATTAAAGAAACATTGTAAACAAACTGGGTGACTTGCGTTATGAATAAAGGCTTAATATTCTGTAAAATCGCCATAGTTCGTAAACAATTCATATAGGTGGAACTTTATCTGATTGTAACACAGACCATCAGGCTTTTAAACAGGAATAAGATTAACGCCGAACATACAGTATGACGATTTTGTTTTGTGTTGTAAAAAGAAGGATGAAATTGTGTGATCCTCGTCTCTGGACGTTTTATTGAACAAATATATTTTCTTGTGTGTATTCTAAGGCGCAACTGGTCAATTTTGTGAACAAACAATCGATTATTGTTCCAGTGAAACCGATTATTGTAAAAATAGTGGCATTTGTGCAAATTCTGCTTTGGGTCCGATATGTTCGTGTTTGCCAACTTATACGGGACAAGATTGTTCTGTTGTGTTAAATCCCTGTTTATCACAACCATGTGACACGGCAAATTCTTATAATTGTACAAATAAAGGATCATCTTTTGTGTGCAACTGTCATCCAGGTTTTACAGGTGCAGTTATGATCTTAGTGTTTTCCAAAAGCAAAAATTTGAATGCTTGTTATTTTTAGGTCAGACATGTTCAGTTGACATAAATGAGTGCACGACTGTTACTGCTTCATGCCGTAATGGTGGAAGATGTATGAACACGAATGGTGGTTTTCAATGCTCTTGTTCATCAGCTTACGAAGGAAGATACTGTGATATCCCCATTGATCCTTGCATTAGGTGAATCAGCAGTAGCAATACGTTCGCTCGATATGAAGTTTTATACATTTTTTTGTCTTCAGTAATCCATGTGTAGCATCCAATACAATATCGTGTCGTATGACAACACAAGTATCAAGTAATAATGGTACATTAGGTTATGTATGTACTTGTCGACCGGAATACACAGGTTTGTTCCTATCGTGACTTTATTCTTGTTAAAAAAACATCAAAATTAAATGTTTTATTTGAAGGAGCACTTTGCGAGGTAGAAATTAGTCGTTGTGCCAGTCAACCATGTGCTTTTGGCACATGTTATGAAGATCTTGCTGGTTGGTCATGTGTTTGTGATCCTGGATGGACGGGAGTACAATGTAAAGACGGCATTAATGAATGTGAATCCAGACCATGCCAGAATGCAGCTGTTTGTATCGACGGTATTAATAGTTATCATTGTAGCTGTTTAGTAGGATTTACGGGTGCAAATTGTGAACTTCCAATAAATCATTGTTCTGTTAATTTATGCCGAAATGGAGGTAAGAGGAAAAAGGAGATTAAGCAGAGAACAAATAAGTAAATAAGTACATGCTAGTGGGAATGCTATAGTAGAATTGTAATTTTAGGTCAATGTGTTGACACTGTGGTTTCTTACAGTTGTATTTGTCCTGTTGGTTGGGCAGGAGTGAATTGTGAAGTAAATATCAATGAGTGTTTATCGCTTGTTTGTCATCCAAATGCAACATGTATCGACGGACAAGGAAATTTCACTTGCATTTGTCCTCCAGAACTAACTGGCCCAAATTGTCATACGACCATCGATCAATGTGTAGCAAAAACTTGTTATAATGGAGGATTTTGTATTAACACCGGTACTACTTCACCACGTTGTTTGTGTCCACAAGGTTTCACTGGAACAGATTGCAGCGTAAGTTTTTTAACATTGTTTTTTCAAGAAATAAGACAATTGTTCGTTAGCATTTGACAGCATCTGTGCTGTGCTATATATATATATGCTATATATATATATATATATAGCTGACATTAAATATAAAATAGACTGTATTATCTCCATTTGAAATGAATCTGTAGATTTGTTGTTAAGAATCAAACAATCCTCTCTTTTTTAGATTAATATCGATGATTGTATACCAAATATATGTCTCAACGGTGGATCATGTATTGATCAACTAAACAGTTTTATTTGTTTTTGTCCGAGTGGCTTTACTGGTTCAGTGTGTCAAATAGTTGTTAGTCAATGCACAAATCAACGATGTATGAATGGCGGCATCTGTCGCGAGGCATATAACTTAGCACAAGGATTTATTTGTATTTGTCCGCCCTTATATAATGGAACTTATTGTGAAGATCGAATTGATCCCTGTTCCACTTTCCCATGTAAGAGAACAAAGAAATTCTGATCTATTTTAGAAAATCAAACGTGTAGAGAAAGAATTATAGCAGAATTTCTTCTATTTCTTCGAACTTTTAACTCGGTCAGATGGTATAATATTAATTTCTTATCATTAGGTATTCATGGCACATGTTCGAATGCTGTTGTGGAATCAAATAATATTTTGTCTTATACTTGTACGTGTAGTCCGGGTTATATAGGTCGTAACTGTGAAACAGAAATTAATTTGTGTCAATCAAATTCATGTGGACCCTATGGCCTGTGTATTAATAATTTGAATACATTTCAATGTTGCTGTCAACCTGGTTACACCGGACAATTTTGCGATCGTCTTTATGACCTTTGTTTATCTAATCCATGTTCTCTCGACGGTTTACAACAATGTATTTCGTATTCATCTAATAACACGTATCAGTGTTTCTGTAAACCAGGGTATACCGGTCGATACTGCGAGGTGGGAATAAATGAGTGTGAATCTCGTCCATGTATTAACGGTGGAACGTGTATTGACTTTCAAAATCGATATGAATGTGTTTGTCCAAACTCCTATAGTGGAACAAACTGCGAGAGATTACGTGATTCATGTACAAGTGGACAATATTGTTTGAATAATGGTGTTTGCCGGGTGAATCAAACTGGTTTTAATTGTGTGTGTTCACAAGGATATACGGGAAATAATTGTGAACTTGTGATTAACTATTGTCAGTCCATGCCGTGCCAGAATGGAGGAATATGTCGAACATCATCAACAGGATTTACGTGTGATTGTGTACGCGGTGTGACAGGAGATCAATGTCAAACAATAGTCAACCAGTGTCAATCTGATTCATGTTTGAATGATGGAACGTGTATTTCAATGCTCAATCGTTTTGTCTGTCTTTGTGCACAAGGATATTCAGGTTAGTTTTTATCAAATGAAAACAAATTGAATTAATTACAGAATTTGGTTTGTTTTTATTAAGGACTAATATGTGAAACAAATCGTGATGATTGTCAACCAGTAAATCCCTGTCTTAACGGTGGTAGATGCATTGATGGAATAAATAATTTTACATGCATTTGCAACCTAGGTAGCTCTTTTACAAATATCTTTTAACATGTCTGCCAATTATGTTGTATCTTGGTTTAGGCTTTACGGGCGATTACTGTGAAAATCAGATTAATACATGTCTATCAAATCCTTGCTTGAATGGTGGTCTTTGTCGACCATTAATAAACAGTTACCGATGTGATTGTCCTGAAGGATATACGGTTAGTGACTCTTTATATTAAAATTAGAATATATGTGTTCAAACGGCTTATATGTATGTACAGATTCTATTGTAATAGCAGCTGACATAATCGGACCGAAACGTCGGTTGAATTAATTTGATTAATAGATAATAAAATTCGTTAAATAATTATAGTAGTTGCTGTTACATTAAAATCTGTACTGCTTCTACTTGTGGGTCTAATTTGTTTTAATGTATGTATTTCAAAATATTTTGCTCCATTACAACTAATAAATGAGGTATATTATCCGAAGTATTATTAGTAGATAGTTTTCATCAAGATGATCCCTTTATCTCTTGTGTCCATCATTATTGAGCACTCAATACACTAGAGAAATCCAAACTATTGTATAAATCCTAATTTCAATATTTTATAAAATCCTTAGCCTATTATAGTTTTCAGATTAAATCATTCTTCTTTCATCTGTTATCATTATTACTTAATGACATGACCAATGAGCGAAAGTCCACTAGTGAAAAGATCTTAAAACATTTATAATTTCATTAATTTAACAAACACATGCAACTAAATATATACCAGTTACATAACTGACATCAGGGTATCTAGAAAAATCTGTTTCTAGCTGTGGAATGATACTTTTTTTTACATACATTTTGTAATATTTCTTCTGTGTATTTTTTGTAAGAAAAAAAAATTTAAACGTACTTTTGAATAATATAGTCTCATATGTTTTATGTAAGATTTTGTAAGCCGACTATTAATCATCAATTGTTAGTCTTAAAAGTTGTTATCAGTTCGTTTGTGCACTAACAAATAGGTACGATTTCTGAGTAGTCAAATGAAGGACTGTTAAGGCTTACACCTGATCTAACGAGTACCATGAATTTTGCCGTCATACACGTTCGCAGTAGACTTTCGGCAATTGTCGAAAGTTGCGTTTTCATCGAACTTTGGCCGTATCCGAAATCAGAATTTTGGCAATCTGCCGAAAGTTTAGTTTTGGTTGAGAGCCATTTTTAGTTCAAGGCAGGACTTTTGCAATTGCAGAAAGTCCACTGTGAAAGTCTACGACGGTGAATTTCGCGTTGCCCGTTAAACTTAACCGTTAAAATGATTTGATATAAACATTCTGCGCTGATAGTCTGGATTCAGTCATCTATTCTTTCTCTGTGTTGTAGGATTCAACATGTTCCTCAGCGATCAATCATTGTTTGAGTAGTCCCTGTATGCATGATGGTTACTGTATTAATTTTATTAACGGTTATCGTTGTGTTTGTCAAGATAATTATGTAGGAACAATATGTGAAGAAGAATTGAATGCTTGTGAATCCTCACCTTGCATGCATAATTCAACATGTATCAATGGTGTATCTCGTTTTGATTGTTCATGTGCACTTGGATTTCGCGGTTTCCACTGTGAGAAAAATATAAACGAATGTGAAAGTTCTCCGTGCTTAAACAATGGTGTATGCCAAGATCAGGTAAGTTAGCATATATTTAAGCTGTAAAAGCACCCTAAGAATGATAAAAAATAGTATATAATTAACGCTTTTCTGTTTATCTGTGAATTTATTTGAAGATATCTACATTATCTTTCAACTTTAGCAGATAACTTTTGAAACATCTTTTGTAATTATTGACAAGTATATTTTGTCTTCAAGTTGATGTAAAAATGAAGCACACAACTGATCAGTACCCATAATAACACCCATTAACTAATCGATAGAATTAGAAAAACCATTCAAGATTTCTCTCTGTCTTTTAGATTAATGGATATGAATGTTTGTGTAATTCAATGTACAGTGGTTCACGATGTGAACTAAAAACCAATCTTTGTTCATTAAATCAATGTTTAAATTCTGGAACATGTATCGATGGTACAGATCAATTTCATTGTATATGTCCATCGTGGTATTATGGCTCACGATGTGAAAATCGTGTATATCCATGCAATACATCAAATCTATGTGTTAATAATGGAACATGTTTAGAAAATCTAACAACAACTACAGGTTTCACGTGCCAATGTTCACCAGGATTTACAGGAATTCTGTGCGAAATAAATATTGACGAATGTTCCTCACAACCATGTCATAGAGGACAGTGTATTGACAAAATAAATGGTTATGTGTGTGCATGTTATGCTGGAAATGTGGGTGTGCAATGTGAGGTGAGTTTAGATACTGCATATAAATATCAGTGTTAATAGTTAAAAATCCTCTCGATTGCTCAATCGGCAGAATGCGCTGGTTTTTGGCGTATTTGGATTCATCTGCTATTAATTTCACTTACAAATCTTTAAATGTCCATCTGAATGGTTGTCTCTTACTTTCCGAGCCTCTACGCTCTACCAGCCATTACTTATCATTATTGTCCATCCATAAAAAGAATGATATATGCGTGTTTTTTAAATAACTCGAAAAGGGGAAGAGCTAGAGGGACACGGCTTTCATCAATCGAAAGAGGACCATATGCAGCATCTTTTTGCAAGCGGAAAGTTTTTCAAATAGCTTCAAAAATGGATTTTCGAGCGGATCTTTTGGAAAACTTCTGTATAAGCCGAAAAGTTAAAATAGCAAACTATTGATATTTTTTCATTAGTAAATAGAAAAAAGTGCTTAGATGTAAGGAAGATGTAGAAAATCAGTGATTTGGTCAGAATTTAGGTTTTTCTCAGAGTCTCAGGATCCCTACTTCTTTGAATTTGGGCGTTTAACAAACATATGAACCACAGGCTATCGACCGTCCTCAGTCTTGCGGCAAAGTTTGTTTTATTTATAGGACTGAAGGAAGTTCAAAGAATGAGTTTTTCAAAAAGGAGATTTTGGCGTTTGGAGTCTGCTAGAATAAAGATGCTGTAACTCGGCTATTTTTTATGGATAAAATCAGAAAAGATCTCGGAAAATTAGCAGCATGGATCATGGAAGGAAATAAAGACAGAAAAGATCTCGGAAAAATGTCAATTAAGCATATCTGCATAAAAGATCTAGGAAAATTTTATTTATTTTTTTATTCTGCAGAAAAGATCTCGGAATAATGAATAGTCTAGAAGGAAACCACCATGGTTTTGTTCGTGCAGATATAAGCTCAAAGAATACTCATGTATAAATGCAATTGGTTTAAGGATGATGTGGGGTACAATGCCTGTCTCACAACTTATTGGTAAATGTAGGGAAAGAGGACGTCCAAAAAAATAAAATTTGCATTACAACAAGACTAGAAAAATCAGCTTGTTCTCTTTTTTTTATTTGTGCTGTATTCTTGGAAGTGTTGCAAAAAGTTTCGCATTAAAGAATCGTTTTGCCAAAGACTGCACTGTTTGGAAGGTATAATATATGAGGGTGTAAGAGCTTTTCCTATTTATTAATTAATTAATTATTCCGAGATCTTTTATGCAGATGTACTTAACTAACATTTTCCCGAGATCTTTTCTGTCTTTATTTCCTTCCGAGATCCGTTCTGCTAATTTTCCGAGATCTTTTATTGTCACGTCCATTTTTATCCAACATGTTTTAAAAGATGCTGTATAAGCTCCTCTTTCGATTGATGAAAACCGCGTCCCTCTAGCTCTTTCTGTTTTCCAGTTATTCAAAAACGTTCACATATCATTCTTTTTATGGATAGACAATAGTAATATTGTGTCAGAGCGTAGAGGCTCGGAAAGTAAGAGACAACCATTCAGATGGACATTTAAAGATTTGTAAGTGAAATTAATAGCAGATGAATCCAAATACGCCAAAAACC